TAAACCCGAATCCCTAAACCCTCATCCCTAATCCCTAAACCCTGAACCTTAATTCCTAAACCTTAATCCCTAAACGCCGAACCCTCATCTCTAAACCCTGCACCCTAATCCCTAAACCCTGAACCCCTAAACCCCTGAACCCTAAAACCAAAGCCCAGGCTCTCTTCACCGCAAGCCCGAAAAGCTCAACCGAATCCTGAGCCCTGAGCCCGAAATCTGTGGGGACGTCGAGGGATCACCGAAATCTCAGGGCCCCGCGACCCTTTACAGGTATTTGCCCGCGACCCTTTACAGGTATTTGGGGTTCAGGGCTTAGGGCTTCGGACTTCTAGGGTTTAGGGTTTAGGGGTTTAGGGCTGAGGAATTTCTAGGGTTTAGGGTTTAGGGGCTTGGGGTTTAGGGATTCAGGGATTCAAGGATTTTTGGGTTGCTTTTTTATGTTCTTTTTAGGGTCCACTCGGAGTCCTCCAACCCTATGGGCTGGATCTGCCTGGTCATGTCAACCCCTGAGCCGAAAGCGTACGACATCTGGCTTGGGGTTTTCGGCCCGGTTGCTTACGGTTTGGGCTTGTGAGTTTAGGGTTCAGGGTTTAGGGTTTAGGGTTTAGGGTTTGTGGGTTTAGGGTTTAGGGTTTAGGGATTTGCTAAACGTAGCAGGGTTTGGGGTTCTGAAGTGTGAGGTGTAGTAGTTTTAGGCTTTTGGGTGTAATGCTTGGAGTTAGCCAGCCAAAGCAACCTTGCAAAGTCCTACGGTCCTGCAGAAGAACCTGCAGCATCCTGCCCCAAAGATTTATACAACCAACATACGTCAAAAAGCAACAAAAAACCATTCGCAATGAACCCTCCACGTAAGGTTATGGGATGTAAGGAGTCTTACCAAAAGCCTTTGAAGAGCACTAAACCCTAAACCCTAAACCCTAAACCATAAATCCCTAAACCTAAACCCCAAACCCTAAAGCCTAAATCCTAAACCCTAAATCCCTAAACCTAAACCCTAAACCCTAAACCCTAAATGAGCCCAAGGGGCTTCCTGAAGCTCCTTCAGCTGTGCCGGATTGGGGCAGGCATTGTCCTTGACCACCTGGAGCATCTCCTGGGCCAGGTTCTCCAGATTGGCGGGTTTAGGGTTTAGGGTTTGGGGTTTAGGGTCTAGGGTTTAGGGTTTAGGCTTTAGGGTCCAGGATTTAGGGTTTAGGGTTTAGGGTCTAGGGTCTAGGGTTTAGGGTTTAGGGTTTAGGGGGTTGTTGCTGTCGTCGCTGATGTTGTTATAGCAGTGGCAGCAGTAGTAGCAGTGGCATCACTAGTGGCAGTAGGGTAGTGGTACAGGTATGGGCATGGGTAGTGGTTGCGGTCGTGGTTGTGGTTGTGGTCGCGGGCACTGGGTCTCTGCCCGACCCATGATTTAGAGTTGAGGCTTCAAGGTTTAGGGCTTGGGTGGACGGCTTGTGTTTTCTGGCTTGTATACCCAGCAGCTTCCCACGCGATCGGGCCGAGCCGCAATGTCCAGGATCTTGTCATTCAGTTCGTCCAAGGCCCGTGCCACCTGTGAGCTAGACTTGTCTGCCAGAAAGGAGATTTGGAACCCTAAAAGCTAAACTTTAAGACCCACACCCCGTAGACCCGCAGAGCCCGAAAGACCCGACAGAATTCCTAAAGCCCCAAAGCCCAAAACCCCAAACTCCAAATCCTAAGCCTTGAATCCTGAATTTTGAGTAATAAACCTCGAAATCCAAAGCCCTAATGTCAGGGCCTTAATAATCACGCTAGGGTTTTTGGGTTTGGGGGGTGTATATTCGAGCTATAATCAGGAACCCCAAAATAGTATAGGTGATTAGTGAGGCCCCTATATTACACCCCCGAACCGAAATCCTAACCATCCTTAATGCCTAAACCCTAAACCCTAAACCCCTAAACCCCTAAACCGTAAACCCTAAACCTCTAAACCCTAAACCCCTAAACCCCTAAACCCTAAACGACGAGAAAGATACGCCGCCTCACTGGGTTCTGGAAGCTTCCGCAGGGAGGCCTCCTTACCCACCACGATCCTTGCTGTTGTCAGAAGGCTTAGGGTTTAGGGGTTTGGGTTTAGGGGTTTAGGGGTTTAGGGTCAGGGCTTTAGGGTTTGTTCAGGGTTTACCTGGACCCTAAAGGACCTACCTTCTTAGGGCTCAATTTCATGATTTCTTATATAAGTCCTGAACAAAGGTGGGTTACTTGGGGTTAAGGTAAGGGTTTGTGACATCAGGGTTTAGGGCTCATGTGGGAATGATTATGATGATAAGGATGTATTTTTTTTTTGGGGGGGGCGGTAATTTCATCAGGCTTTCGGGTTTATGTGGGAATGATGATGATGATGGTGATGATGATGGTGATAATGACGCTGATGATGATGGTGATGGTGATGATGATGGTGATGGCGACGGTGATGATGATGATGATGATGGTGACGACGACGACGACGACGACGATGATGATGATGATGATGATGGTCCCATGAATTTTGGGGCTCTGTTTCAGGTTCCCTGGGGTCGCTTCTTCGGATTCGAGCCCTCAAGGTTTCGGGCTTTGGGTTTGGTACTCGGAATTAAGATTGCTTACGGTTTAGGGTTTAGGGTTTAGGGTTTAGGGCTTAGGGTTTAGGGTTTAGGGTTTAGGGTTTAGGGCTTAGGGTTTAGGGTTTAGGGTTTAGGGTTGATTGAGAACTGCATTACTAGTACCCCCCCTATGTAACTAGATAATGACGCCCGAAACATACACTCTTCAATATTCCTAAGGGGCTCTCTATACACTCACCGAGTCCCTAACAAAAGCCCTACCTCACATCCTGAAGGAAGAGGTGGATTGAGACCCTGAATCTAAAAGTTCTTGGCGGGTCTCTGTAAAGAACCCTAAACCCTAAACCCTAAACCCTAAACGCTAAACCCTGCTCACTTTAAACATCACCGAGCCAAGGCCTCTTCGGAATCTCTCGGGAGATTCGACGATCATCTCCGAGCAACCCAAAGCCCACAGCTATAAACTCTGAGTCCCAAACCGCAACTTTCCAAACTAAGCCCTAAACCCTAAACCCTAAACCCTACACCCTAAACCCTAAACCCTGAACCCTAAACTCTAAACCCTACACCCTAAACCCTACACCCTACACCCTAAACCCTAGCTTCCTTGAGCCCTCACCCTTCAAGCCTGAATACCAAGCACTAAACTTGCCAGGGCCTAAGACCCTCCATCCTACAGCCCTAAATGTAGGACCTCTTTCAATCATTAGAATAGGGTTTGGGGCTCCTTTGTAGTATAGATCATGGATATAATAAGGAACCCTAAGGAATACTGTTGGTAATTAGTTTGGCTTCTATATTGAACCTTTGGGTAGCTGTCAAAATTATGGTCCCTTTTGGGGTACCCTAAATAATAGGTGCCGTATTATAATAAGGACCCAAAAAAGGACCATAATTTTGACAACCACCCCTTTAAAGGCCATGACCAAGGAAGAATCCAAGCTTCTGTGGATCTGTGATGATGCGAATGAGCGCCAGCTCCTCCTTCTTCTTCTCGCCTGAAACGGTTTAGGGTTTAGGGTTTAGGGTTTAGGGTTTAGGGTTTAGGGTTTAGGCTCGCTTTCGAGACAAAACCAAGCTTGGAGTTCGGCCCAAATCTGAAACCCTAAACCCAAACACCTAAACCCTAAACCATAAACCCTGAACCCTAAACCCTAAGTTAAACCCTAAACCCCCCAAACTCTAAACCCTAAACCCTGAGTTCAACCCTAAACCCCCAAACCCTAAACCCTAAACCCTAAACCCTAAGTTCAACCCTAAACCCTTAACCTTGGCCCTATCTCGATCCCCCGAGCTTTCCAAACCGCTGCCCCGCCTTCTTCTTTCTTGGGCTTCTCTTTCTGGGCCACCGCTGACTTACTGAAGCGCAGAGTGAGCTCCCCTATAGGAAGCTTGTCCATCTCGTCCTTGACCTCGGCGGGCTCTTGGAGGGTGGTTTTTGTTGGTGTGCAGGGTTTGACGGGGGTTAAGATAGGGGCCTAAAGAATTACCTATACTATTTTGGGAGCTCCTTATTATAATTATAGATTGGGCCCCTACACCCTATTCTACATTATTAGGGTTTAGGGTTTAGGGGTAGATTTGGGTTCAGATCGGTGGCAAAGCACGACGGCTTGCGAACCTGCACCCCTTTTGACTGGCAACGAAAGGCACGCACCCGCTGTGGTCCAAACCTTGCATCCCCGATTCCACGACAGCCCCCAAACTCCCCGAACACTGAATCCCCCAGCCCTCAAGAACCCTGTGACCCTAAACAATGACTTCCTAAACTCTAAAACCCTATGACGGGCCGGGACACCTCATCCCAGATTGTCTCTCCTGGTCACTTGCAAGCGATTGAATCCGAAGCCACGAGATAAAATCGTGTTCCGATGCTCTACATGTGGCCTTTAAGAGTTCGGGGATCTAGGGGTAAGAGAGGAGTTCGAGGCTTCGGTCTTCAGAGTTTAGGATTTAGGGCTTCGGGCTTTCGGGTTTTAGGGTTCATTGAAGGCTTGACAAGCGTCGAAAGACTTTCTTGGGGGCAGGATGCTGTGGCGGAGCAAGTTGGTGGAGCGCGTGACTAGTAGCTCGCATGTGCGGCTTCTCGTATGCACGCCGGGAAACTGCCTAAACCCTGAACGCGGGAACCCCAACCCCAACTAACTTCCCTAAAGCCTACATGCTATAGTAACTCTACATCCCAGACTCCTAAAGTCTTCAACCCCTAACCCAGAACACAAACGTAAAAAAACGCCCGCAAACTTCTAGCCCATCAAATCGGATAAACTGCAGCTGCCAGCCCCCCCCGGCACACTATGCGGTGGCGATTTTCCTGGCACTTTAGCAGAATACCACTACCCAGAAATCAAGCCCAATATCAAGACGACACAAACCGAAGTTCAGCCCACAGCCCCAAGATCCGTCCTTACATTCAACCTTAAACCCATCATTGGCCCATCATAGTACAGGGACCTGAATAGAAAAAGTGCTGGTGGCTTGGGGTCTATTGGACTACAAATTGGGTCTAGTGGACAACAACCATAACAAGGAACCCAAAAAGGAATTTAATTCTCAGCCCAAGGGACTAAGTCTTCCTACTTCCCAAAACTCAACGGTAACCAAGAGTCATAACAAGGAACCCAAAGGAATAATTCTTCCTACTCTAAAACTCAACGGTAACCACTTCTGCTCAAGCTGAGTCTCCTTTTTGTAGCTGGGCTCCAAAGAGCATCTTGTTCCTGCGCTCTGCCGGTGTTACAGGGTCTAGGGTTTAGGGTTTAGGGTTTAGGGTTTAGGGTTTAGGGTTTAGGTTATGTAGGGGCCTTGATAAAATTAGAGTAGGTTTGGGGCTCTTTTCTTTATAGTTAAGTACATGGTAAGGAATCCTCAGGAATAATGTTGGTAATTATTTGGGCTTCTATATGAAGTTTCGGGCGGGGGGGGGGGGGGTGGGGCTTTCGGGTGTTGGGCCCTAGGCCGGTTTGCATCCAAGCTCTTGGGCACCGGGCACCTAAACACGAAACCCTAAACCCCTAAACCCCTAAACCCCTAAACCCCTTAACCCTCCACCCCTAAACCCCTTAACCCTAAACCCCTAAACCCTAAACCCCTAAACCCTAAACCCCTAAACCCCTAAACCCCTAAACCCCTAAACCCTAAACCCTAGAGCCTTCAAAGAATGAGATTCTCTAAGCCCGACATCCAAAACGCTCCCCCCAGCTGCACGAAACCCTTCTCACCCCGAAAGCCCGATAAATTGTAGGGGCCTTAATAATTAGAATAGGGCTATGGGTTTAGGATTTAGGGTGTAGG